AGCAGGACAAAAGTTGAATCTGGACTATGTTTCTCCCTTCACTGGCTGAATGGAAGGTTGGGCAGCTCAAGAGATCTGCCTGCACTTGTAGTTTTCAGCTCTGGAGGTGTAGGATCGAGGATAACTCAAACAATGCTGCAGTGAAGAAATATTTTTGGTCTTTTGTCTTGTGTGTGGCCCCAAACCATTGCTGGAAGGGAACACCACAGCCAGCTGATGTATCCGAGGTACCTGCCGGGGAAGCCATTTCCATGCCCTGAGTCATACTGTGAACCTCTGCACACTTTCCCTAACCACACACAAGCACATCCATCTTTTTTTTTGCTCTTTCTCTCCCACCACTTGTATTGTGATGCCAACAAAGTACATTAATTTTAAAAAAGAGTGAGGATCTGCTGGAAAATGCCCTTCACTGTGAGACTTTGCTGCAACATGCGGAGCCTTCCCAGAGACCTGACCATTGTTTCACCTCTCGCTGCCTTCTGTCACTTCTTTGCAGCAGCCAGAGCTGACACGAGCAGACCTGCCTCCTCTGAACCGGCTGCCACCTCTGCTGTCAGCACTGAGTCAGCGCTTACTGCTCTCCAGCTGCCCCAGTAGCAGCTGGGTTATTTCCAGGACACTGGAGTTACTGCCCTCAATAAATGGAACTGCCGCCTGGGGAATGTTGTCCCTGGGAGAGCTTTCTGTAGTCAGAGGAAAGAGCTTAAGCATCAAGAGGGCGGGGAAAGGCATAGTGGTTTTCTGCCCAGGGGATTTTTGTGAGGCACTCCTGAGCAAAATGCAGCAGCCCAGGAGCTGCTTTCTGTGAGCTTTCAAGGGAGGAGCTCGCTCGAGGAGGATCAGGTGATGGGGAGACACCTCACAACACAGACTGCCCCCCAAACAAGCAAACCCAGCAAGCATTAAAGTGAGATCCAGATGTGCTCATCCTCCATGCAGAGCTGAATCTCGCCTGCTCAGTCATTCCTTCCAAGTCACACTTCTCATCATAAAGCAGTGAGAAAGAGAAAACATTTTTGTTTATTTCCCTTAATCTTTTTTTTCTTTTTAATAATGACTGCTACAACAGGTAGCTGAAATGCTGAGGGGCAGCTGCAATATCAGAAATTATTTTTACCTCATTACAAAAATTTATCCTTTTTAGAGGGAGAGAAGCAGAATGGAGATTAGAGGTTCTAATACTTCGTCTGGTGTTACTTAGTACCTGTGGATCATTACATTGATAAAAATATGTACAGACTCACTTTTCAGGTTTAAAAGTGTTTTGTCCTTTTGTTTGCTCAGCTAAATAAAGAGGTTTTGTTTGACCTGTGATTTTGAATCCAGCTGGCTTTTTAATATACAGTGACTCATACAAAGCAGCCTGCAGAGTGAGTCTCTTTTCCACTGTTTTACTGCTGATTTAGGCAGAAGCCCCACAGAAAATCAAGCAGTGTGTGGGGCTTTCAGCCCTGTCTGGCTCCCAACCAGGTCTTCCTCACCAGAGCTCTGCTCTTCGTTCTGTAATTGTTCCTGCTGAAACAAGGGAGCTCATCACAGCGAGAGGTACTTCAAGCAAACCAAGTAACTGGGATTTGGTCATGAAAGGCATTGCAAGTCCTCTAAGATTTTCAAGGTTGGTAATGAACCATTAGTTTCTAATGAAGATTGGAGCTGAGGCCTGTCCCAAAATGATAACTTTTTTGTAATGAGATACTGCCATTATCTTGGCTGAAGTGCAATAGAGCATCACTTCTCTGGTTTCAGTGGGAACAGGCTGGGAGCTCTTCATACCACGTCTGTCATTATTTTACCTAGATCAGAATAAGGCAAAGATTTTTAAGAGTGGTAAAGCAGGAAATCTCATTTCCATTTCCAAAAAAGATTACAAAGAATACACCACAACCAAACATTGGGCCTAATCCTTGCATCTCACTCAGTGTGTGTTTTCTCTCCTCACAGACTGCATCATTGACACGAGAACATAAAAACCATTGAGCCCATGGGCCTGCAGGGATAAGGAAATAGTAATGGCAATTGCCATTGCAGTCCTGGTCTCCATGCAGGCAAAGCTGCCCACAGACTTGTGGAAATAAAAGACCAGACACAGTCCCCCTTGAGCAGATATGTGGTTGTCCCCTGGGCTTTTTTTTGTCTCCAGGAATTTTTGTCTCCCCAAATAATTTCATGATTAAAGTCAAAGTGCCATCATCTGATAACAGGAGGAGTTTGTGGGCCCAGATACTGCAAATGTAACATCATTTTCTCAAATAAATGTCTGCTGTTTCAAGAAAAAAAATCAGAAAGAAAAATACAGGTGTCATGCTATAACTCCTGAACTTCCTCCATCATCTAAAATGAGCTGTTGTTTGGGGAGAGAAGAGATTAGGTAGCTGCCTTTGTGTTATTCCACTCAGGTGTTCCTGCAGATCTGGATTCACTTTGAAAATTAAACCTGTATTTTACTGCAAATGGGTTGATATCAGCTCCACTGCCAGGGCTAACCAAAACCTATCAAAACACTCACTCATCTTTTACCTTAATTTTTCCTAGAAATTATGAGTCAGCATATCTTTCTGAATGTGGAATATAGAAAAAACTCTTGCATCTGTATTATCTCAGGAAAATGAATGGCTAAGATCACTGTAACCCAAATTTTCTTCCTGGAAGAGAAGAATGCTTGGGGCAACACTTTGAAAGTGTCACATTTTTAACAGGAGAGATCCAGCTTTATTTCTTAGATACAGTGAATCATTGGAGAAAAGAGTAACTGAAAATGTGATCATAAAACAGAAAAAAAGGAACAAAGTCTCATTTAAAGCAACATGGACTAAAATTGGAAGAGTAACTCACCTAAATCCTTTACACTCCTCGATTAAGCGGTTTATTACTGAAGTAGGATTTTATTCAGTTAAGTTCTTTATCTAATCTTTATACAGCATGTCACTGCAATGAATTAATGGTGAAAATCCTCCCATGCCAGGCAAGTTTAAAGGAGGGATGTTGCGTCAGAGGTGATCTGTGGCAGGTTCTGCCCCCCTAAGGACTGAAAGTAAGGGTAAGAAGTTTCTCCTTAGGGTTTTAGAGCCTTAGGTCTTCAGAGCCTATACAGGGTTGCCAGAAGCCAACTCAGGTCCCTCACACCATCTCACACCTGGGTGCAGTGTCAGTGCCAGGGTCTGGGGATCTGCATTCAGCAACCCTCTCCCATGGTTTTGTTGCAGTCAATACAGGAATGACAAAGATTTATGAGGCTAAAGCCTAGTAGATGGCACGTTTTCTAGTTTTAACAGAAAGCTTTGCCACATTTCACCTGTCTGAGGTGCTCATTGGTCTTTTCTCTCAGCAGCTACTGCTGTGGGTGTTGCAGCACCTTTGGCTGAGTCTCTGCAGGGAGAGGTCAGAGCATGGTGAGGATGCTCCAGACAGCAGTTTGGTCCCTGGCTTTGCAAGGGGAAGGGAACACTTGAGCACACTATGTGTGCCACCCAGCCACAGGGCTGGAGGGAGGGTCCTCTTTTATTTGCTGGCTTAGACATAGCATATGAGATATAAGCTTAAAAAGAGGGTAGAAAAATCTTTTTTAAAAGCAACTAGAGAGTTCTTAATTTGAGCAGTATTTTGACCTATAATAAAATCTAGTTTGAATTATATTTGTAACACCTCTGCAACAGCTCCCTGATGAACTGCATGCCTGAAGGTAGGCATCAATTGCAATGTCAGATTTATGATTATCAGAATTGATAAAAATAGTGGAACCAGCAGTCTGGAATACCCGTTTTTCTTTTAAATGAAATATCTTTGTATTACCAGTGAAATGTTGCTGGGTTTCATAATACTTGCACATAATACAGCATTACTGATTCATAGCCTCTCTGAGGCTTGCTGGATCCTTGTGGACCCAACTTCTCCAAAAGGCAGAAGTTTGATCCATTGCCCAGTCATAAACTGGGAAAAACACTAGTCCAAACTTCCTGTATGGTACCAATCAGGTAACAGTAATCTGTTTCAGCCCTTAAGCACAAACAGAAATGGTAGTGATTAACTATAACATAACCAAGATGTAAGTGTAGCATAACTATAAATAAATGAACAGCAACACTGCTTCTGAAATCTGCTGCACGTGCCATTGTTCTGAATAAATCAGACACTGGTGGATTTGAACCTGGGTGAAGGAGTGCTCCAAACTCTGAACAACATTGACCTCTGATGGACTCTTTGAAGCCACAAAGCCATGGAATTGTCAGAAGACTGTATACTGCTCTGAGACAGGCAGACAGCAAAGATGCACTTAAATGACTTTTTCTACAGCATGCAGTCCAAACACAAGGAGGCAGAGAAACAATTCAGATTCCCCTCAGAGCTGCGGATGATAAGGAAAGTCTACATATTGTGGCATTTATAGGCTTTTGGGAAAAAATATTGTGCTTCTCCCCCCCCTTCCTTTTTTCCCTTTTGGCATTAGATGAAAACAGGAAAAAAGAGCCCAGCTTAGAGAATGCTTTTCCCCACAGTCTGATAATTTTAAAATGGGTCATTATTGTAAAGGATTAATTTATAACTTGAAAATTAAAGCTGCTGGGAAGCTGGTGAATAACTGTAACAAGCAGCCCATTTGATCAGGCTATTTGTTTCTTTGGTTGTTGGAGGGAAAAAAAAAAAGAAAAGGAACAAAAAATAGAGTTTGTGCTCTTCATTACTCTTTGCTAGACTAAAGCAGAGAGCAAACAAACAAGCAGGAAGATGCTTTTCTTGGTCCAGCATTTCATCTCCACAGTGAATGATGATCTTTTTAGGCAGAATTACATGGGGAGCCTTCAAAAGGAAACAAAGGGACTTTGCTCAGGCGGCAAATTTGCCAGCTCTCTTCTTTCTAAATGCATCTAAACACACAAGGTTCTATTACATTTTATGTATGTTTATTTGTATACAAAATGTTATAATTTATCAATGTTGTGCAGCAAAGTATAGATAGACACATACATCACATACATACATCCCCACCCCCTTCCCTCCCCCAACACACACACTTAGAAATACAACATGAACACAACTTTCTTTCTCTCTGCCCTTCAGAAAGGCAACACTGTTTTGGCAGGTCAGCAGCTAGAAATAAGGTGCTATAATTAAGCGGTACCGGAATGTCTTCACTTCACAAATGTGATGTGCAAATTTATATACAACCACATTGTTATTTTTTTGTTTGTTTTTTCAGGGAACCCGAAACTCCATACCCCGAACCACTCTCCGAGATACAAATATGTATAAAGTGCTAATACTTAAGCATGTTTCCAATGACTTCACGACGTGGTTTGAAGTTTAGAACAGGCACTGTGATAGTTCACTGGGTAGATTGTCAGTGGGTGCAGTTCGACAGAGAAGAGTCACTCAGACATCGCTGGGGGACCGTGAGCGAAAGGACACTTTAGCCTGAAAGCAGCCACAGAAGAGCACCCACATGGACCTCTGGATTTCCTGGTTTCTGTAGGCATAAATGATGGGGTTGATCATGGAGTTGTAGGTAGCAGGTAGGAGCGTGGCGTACGTGTACACAGACGGGTAGTCAGGATCCCCCACGACACAGTAGATGGCAAAAGGCAGCCAGCTGGCTCCGAAAGTCCCAAGGATGATAGCCAGGGTAGAGACTCCTTTTTTGGTGGTGACATAGTGCGAAGCAGTCAGGAAGTGCTGCTGGAGAGCTATCTGGTGGGCATGCCTGCAGACGATCTTGCAGATCTCGATGTAGAGATGGAGCATGATGAGGAAAATGAGAAAGAAAGAGGCAGACAGCAGCGTCACGTTACTCTTGGTCAAGGGTCTGACGACGCTGCAGGAGGTGCGGTCGTGGAGGCAGTTCCAGCCCAGGACGGGCAGCAGCCCCAGGCAGAGGGAGACCCCCCAGGCACCCGCCAGCATGGTGTGAATGCAGAGCACCGTCCTCTCCGAGTAGTAGGTGAGGGCATTGTAGAGGGAGAGGTAGCGATCGACCGTGATGGCCAGCAGGCTACTCACGGAGGCGGCGAAGGAGGCGACGAGGAAGCCCACCGTCAGCAGGCTGACCGTCTCCGAGCGGATCACGTACTGGAAAACGAAGTTGAGGATGAGGCCGAGGCCGGCCAGGAGGTCAGCCGTGGCCAGGCTGCCCACCAGCACGAACATGGGGGTGCGCAGGGCGGGCGAGTAGCAGATGATGGCAACCACCAGGGCGTTCTCGCAGGCGATGGCGGTGCCGGACACGCAGAGCATCACGTCCCAGGGGTTGAGGGCG